CAAAAATCCTTTTTTTTCACTGTAAGAAAGAAAACTCCCTGGTCTTTATTTATTAAAACAATTATTTTTGAACTCTGACTTTTCTTCATCTCTCTCTTATAGGGACTGAAATTATCTAAAGAACCATCAGAAAATTCGCTGCTGTCTGTGTTTTTAGCTGTTGTAGCAAAGCTCTGTTTACATGCAGGCATTCCCCTTTGACATCACTTCCTGTTACTTCACRTGCAMACATCTTAACTGTTCATCTCAGTGGTGTGAAATTGATTTGAAATATGTTATCCATRTTATCTTTCCAAATATGCATTCAYATTTATCACAAAAACTTGATATCACAGGCACTTTAAAGGGTTAAAGCTCTTCAAAGAACTGTTGGTTTTTCATCACGTTCAGGCCACATTAACACAGATAATGTCCAACAACTTTACCTTATAAAGTCACTTCCTTTTGGGAAACATGTTTTCTTGAAGCCACAAAATATCTCCAGTTCTGTTTGTTTCAGTGACTCACTTTTGGCCTTGTAATGCATTGTGTAACTGTGAAGTCTTGTGCATCACTGTAAATCAGATCTGCCCCTGGGGGGCAATGAAAGTCTGAACTGATCTAACCTCCTGTGTTGCAGCTGACACAATGTGTTATGTATATTAGGTGAATGAGCACAATTAACTGTTTATAAAGAATCAGCACCTTACATGGACCAGACAGTTAGTGTTTGTCTCAGTTTGAAAATGATCAGAAAAATTCGTACGGAGTAAAGCTTCACTATTTTTTGAAATTAACAACAAACCTGTTGCTAAACCTAAATTTGTACACAGATCCTGCTAAAAATGTTTTAATGAATTAACTGTGATTTATTTGTCCAGCCAGACCAATTTTAAAATAATAAATTGGATTAAAACAGCAGAAATACCAAACCTGCAATGAAAAATGACATTTAAGTTGTTTTGAACAGAGGACATATTTTTAACAGCATTAGCTGTTAGCTTCTCTGAGTGACTTCTTCTCACTGCTTCTCTATAGCTGTGTTTCCACCGCAAATGTGCGCAAAACTTTGTCAATATTCTGTTAATGTCGAAATCACAGTTTCGCAACTGCGGTGTTTCCATTAAGAAATGCTATTGAAGTCACGCGTGAATACGTTTGTTCTCGTGATGAGTCATTACAAACATGTCGGCAATGGATGTAAACACATACCATAAACACACGCAGACACACACAGACAAACACACAGACAGACGCACAGACAGACACACAGACAGACAGACAGACAGACACACAGACAGACAGACAGACACACAGACACACAGACAGACAGACACACACAGACAGACACACACACACAGACAGACAGACAGACACACAGACAGACAGACAGACACACAGACACACAGATAGACAGACACACAAACAGACAGACATACAG